CCAGACTAGGAGACTCATGTGGCAAGCATGCTGGAAACTTCTTCCCTAGAAGTCACATCTGGGGCCATAGTAATAAATAACAAATCATCTTCACTAGCCTAGAAGTATGAGACAGCTAAAAAAAAATAGAAACTGTGAACACTGCATGCTTTCAAAGGTCTCCTGGTCACTCTTGCTGCCAGCAGCCTTGCTTATGAGGAGCAGGGACCCAGGGATGCCAGAGCAGCACATGTGTCTTGACAGTTTGTATGCTAGCTTGGGAGGTGACAGAAGGTACTCATGTTCATGAGGGCTTCTTTTCTGTCACTTTTCCCAGTGCTGATTCACTAGTAACTAAAGAGGAAAAGCCTGGGCTGTCCTAGACACAGAGAAGACAGTTATCTACTGCCTTCTGTCTAGAGAGCTCTTCTCCCCACCCACGTGAGGCTGACTGCAGAGATCTGTAGATATGGTAGCTGTCATGGCCTCAAAGCTTCTTTGACACTTTTCTGTTTTTTCTTTTTAACTTCTCACCAATTTCTTTCTCTGTGTTTTTGTTTCCTTCCACCAGTTTTCGCATAATTTTCAGTCTTTCCTTAATGGCATGCAACTTCAGTGACACAAGTTCCAGCCTTGGCTGACTTCTTGTAGATGTGCACCTGAGACAGTTTTAGCTCCTTTCAGACAAAGCACCCCTTTTTTGAGGTGGGTAGGATATTTGCTTCATTCAGCAGCACCCTTGAGGCCCTTCAGTGTGCTCACAACATACATGAAATCTCAGATCCCAGACAAATGGGCAGCACGTTGCAAACTAAACTGGATACCCTTGAAGACTCTGTGAATAAGTTCATGACTCTACTAGTGGTGATGAATAAACTTCAAAAAGGATTGGGAAGAACCCTTCTATTTTGAATGCCTTGTTCAAACCTCAGTGCAATCTCTTAAAAGTTACTCCAAAGTCATGCTTTCCTAGGGCCATGCTTGTGAGCATACATCACCCAGCTGCCTCAGGTTTGTGCTCTTTGATTGCCAACAGGGCATCTTCTTCACTCCACTTCCCAGCACCATCTTCCTCTGCTTCATCACAGGGAAGGTCAAGAGGCCTCATGTCTGATGGTAACCCCTTGGGTTGGGCTTTCCTTGGGAGCTAGCTGGACTCCCAGGTATTACTGGTATGTCTGGCTTTCCTGTGCTCCAAGGTGAAAGGCCAAGAATGAGAAAAGAGGGTGATTTTTTCAAAGATAGTTGCATGACCAGGGAGTCAAGTTTCCAGTTTCAAAAGTGACTTGGATGCTGAGGAACTTAAGTGTATGACTAGGGATTTCAGTGAAGCCTCATGCAGAGCCATGCCCTTAAGTTCTACCTTAGCCGTTCGGGGTGCACAAACAGCCCAGCACACTCCCACACAGAGGTATTAGCACAGGTCCCAAAAACCAAATGCTGTGTAGCACAGAAAACAGGTTTGGTCATGGGCAGTGAGGGTGCACCAGCTTTTTTGCTCAGGGCAGGCCTAGCAAAACTGCAGTGAAAACCAGCAAGAAATCAAATGCCAAAGCCATGTCAGTCATGCAGGGCTTTCCAAAGTTTTCTTCTGTGAGAGGGACAGCAGCTGAAATGTCCCCTGGACATGGGGCACTCTGCCTTGAAAGACTGGGAAATGCATTCTTTAGGGGAAATGTGGACAGGTTTGGAGCTGCAGAGGTGTTGAGGTGAAGAAGGGCAGTAGATGGGATGGAGAGATTATGCAGCCTTTTACTGGATATATCTTCTCCTTGGATCATGCTGGATCCAGAGGTGTATCTGCAGGTCCCCTGTAGGCATCCAGCACTGAGGCTCAGGCTACCTCTGGAGTACCAGCAGGTTATCTCACAGGCAGATGGCCTCCTTTAGGAGCCTGTGGCAGTGGTGTATCAGTGTGTCAGCAGATACCTCAGCCTTTCCCCCTAGGAGTGTTAATGAAGGTCTCCAGGCAGGGATTAGACATGTATGCACTGGGGGAATTGCACCAGCCATGTCCATTGCCACAGCTGGGAGTTCTTTACACCTTATCCTGCCTTGTGTCCAGCCACCTGATGCCTCTTTAAGTCCTTCCCCAGACCTCAGTTGAATCTCACCTCTCCCATTTGGAGAGGAGCCCTTCAGCTCAGAGAAGGCTGTATCCTTGCAGACCTGACAGGTGGGCTGGTGTACCCTTGGTCTGTACAGCTGGTGCAGCTGCTGAGAGCCCCTAGCTCTCCCTCACATGTCATGATTCCCACCTGCTGGCCCAGATCAGCGTATGTCCGTGATGAGGGAGAACTATTAAAAATCAAGGTTTTCTGGTCATAATGAATAAGGAAGACTTCTCTAATTTCTTCCTCTCTCCCCCAAGGGAACAAAATAGTTGCTGAAAAAACCTGTCTGTGTTCCCTTAAGCAAGTAGAGAGAAGCAGGAATTAATCTCTCTTCTTAACTTTTTTTTATTGCCACTGGAGTTGCATATCTGTAATGTGCCATCTAAACTTAAATCTGTCAAGAGCAACGAACGCTGCCATAGCCCTTGAGCAATAGTACAGAACTAATCTGCCAACAAGCTTTGGAACTACAAAGCTTTGGTCATACTAAAGATCGAAGCTATGCCTTCCTCTTCCCCTTCGCTGTATCCACAGACTGGGAGCAGACATTAGCGTACCTTTGGGATGCACGAAAGTGTCAGATCTGCAGTGCCCACATGGGGCTGGAAGTGAGTGGGTGGGACCTGGACCCGGATCTGCCCCGCTTCATCTCACCGTAGGCACAGGTTGGGACCAGTCGTCTGACACTGTGCTGAGGCTGCTCTGGCTGCTTACTGTCCTTCTCAGTGGACTGGCAGGGAGCTAAGCCATTGACCTCAGGCTTGGGCCTCTGGTCCACATCTTTTTTGCTGAGATGTCTTTCAGTCTTTTCTTTGTTGACCAGCTGGGGCCTGCCAAACAGTGAAGGACAGTGTGATCTTGTGGGTGGCAGCTGAGAATGAGGAAGGTCTGATGTGTACAAGGCGCAGAGCCTGCAGCCCTGCTTACCTCAGGAAGTTGGAAAACAGATGTTAGGATGCTAGCTGTAATGATAAAACCCTCTTAAGCTCAGAGGAGGGAGAGGTCAGATGGGGAGGGAGGGAGTTATGGGACAGGCAGTTAAGAATGGGACTTCAAGAAAGCTAGGGATAACTTTGAGGGACTATCCAAGGTGGCCAGAAGAAAAGATGTGAAGTGAGGGAGAGAGATAAGTGCCTGGGGGAGCAGTGTTTGACCACCCACAGCTGAGCTCTCATCACTTTCCAGGTTCACCCACAGCTGCGGTGGGTACAACACAGAGGGTGAGGGTGCTGCTGCACCATGCATGGCTCAGCAGCTCCAGCTGCACCCCTGCCCACGTCCCCGTGCTCACCAAACCTGGCTCAGCCTAGGAGCTGCTCCGGGGAGCTTGTTCATGAGCTGGTCCACGTGCCTGGTGGCCCTTGTCTGCAGGGTGCCATCCCTGGCACTGCAGCATCGTGCTAGTGTAGAACTGGTGCCCCATCAGCTGGCACATCCTGGCCCATCACGTAACGGTCGGGCTAGCCTGAGAGAGCCTTGCAGTTGGGCAGCATGTGAGACCTGTTCAGTTCAGCTTTCTTCTCTGTCCCTTTCTCTCTGTTAACACAGAGACTCTGCACATGCTTTCTCTCTAACTGCAACGTAACCCTTTTCCCTGGAGCATCCTGTGGGCACTTCTGGGGTAATACCAGGAAAACACTTGTCGTACACAAAGCTCGCTGTCACCTGAGCAGCTGCGCACTGCTCTGTGGTGACTCTTGCCAGTCTTGTCTAGGTAGCAGCTCCAAAGAGAGTCTCTGAAAGTAGCATCCAGCCCATCTCAATCTTCCTGCCAGCTGGTGCTTCTAGCAGGTGAGACAGAAGGGGACAGGCAGAGGAGGAGAGGAGGGGTTTGGCTGGCTGCTTGAAGACCCAGGCCAAAAACAAAGCTGGAATGCTGATGTTGCAGGTGCCTGGTTAAAGCAAAGCAAAGAGTAAACGCGTGCGTAAAACCTTTATTTTTTCCATTCATCACAATGCACTTTTTATTTCTGACCTTAGCCTCAAGAATGGTGCTAGACATGTTCTGTGATTTCTCCCCTTTTCCCCTCCAGATGTCCAAATGGATTCTTCGGACAGAGATGTTTGGAGAAACTGCCTTTGCGATTGTACATGCCAGATCCTAAGCAAAGTATGTTTGAAGACAAAAAATGCACCACACTACTTAAAACCTCCTGGGCACAGCGGTGGATGTAGAGTGGTCTAGTCAGGGATGGCTCTTGATGTCAGCTTTGGGCTAGGGCTTAGGGATTCAGGTAAGGGTGAAGGCTGAAAGCAGACAGATAGCAGTCATGGAAGGGATCAGAAGGGGCCTCAGTTTGGTCTGTTTGGGTGTCATTTTGCTATCTTGTTTCTCTCTTTCTGGTTTTCTTTCTTCCGGTAGGTGTCCGATCGAATTCACAGGAGACCGGTGTCAGCATTTCGCAATGGTCAGCTTCTCCAGTATGTCTCTTTCTACTTCTCTCTCTCCCTGGTTATTGTAGCTCTGTCTCATGTCCTTAAAGCAGGTTCTTCTGTTCTCCAAGAGCCCTCTTCCTGTCTTGTGCACTCCCAGCTCTGCTTGGCTGTAAGAGGAGCTGTGATCGTGTCCAAGGGGAGAATTGAGGCTCTTGTTAGCTCCCCATTTGTTAGAATGGGTTCTGCTTTCATTTCTGATTGAACTTGATGTTGCTTGCTCTTTTCATGCAAAATGCAAATAAGGCACAAGGTTATGTGGTGTGCTGTGTGAGAACAGTCTGTGTGATAAGCTGTATCTGCTAGCATTACTGTCTCAAGATGGACTACGTTGTGCAGTGCAAGAGTAGTACATTTTCCTGTGACTCTTGCGAGTGGGTGTGTGAGTCTCTTTGTACCAACTGAGGAAATCACAGTGAGGGCTGTAATGAAATTTCCCCTGAGGTGAGGTTGCGTTTCTGTTTCCAGAAGCTAAACCAAGCATCAGTTGCTGTTCAGGTGAGCTGGTTGGAGGCTGGTTCAGAGTCAGATCCTGGAGCATGCCCACTGGGCACACATGCATACCTGGAGCCCCAGAGGTCACGCTAGTGGCTGCCACTGTCTCAGGGCTTCCCATGCCTCAGTGCCATGCAGGGTATGGGCTAAATCTGCTGATGGGCCATCTCAGACTATATCCCTCCTGGACATAGAGATGCTCCTGTCTCTCCTAGGTGGTTTGGACAGCCTTGCATATGGGGTTGTGTCTAACTACAGTGACTGATCCTTTAACCTCATATTCAGTGGGTGTAAATACCCTAGAGCCCTTGCATTTAGTGCTTCCCAGTTTCTAGTTTCCAGTTCCTACAGGCTCTAGGTCTCTAGAGATTCCTTACTTATAGACATCATTAGGTCATTTTGTTCAAGGCAGATAATTTTTCCTGGTCCATATTCAGACAGTGTCCCAGCATCAATGGGATCCTAGTCTGGGTAAGGACTGACCTGGAAGGAGGCACCAGTTACAGGGCAGGAAATTGGCCATGGTGACCCTCTGTGTGACCCATCCTGCCCCCATGATGGTCGTTTGGACCACCACAAATGGTAGTTTTAAAAAGAGGCTTTTTAAAGGAGCCATAAAAGAGGCTTTAATTAGTGGGAACCACGGGAGAAATGGTGAGTCCTTGATTGCCAGTACCCCCTCTCCCACTGCTCTCTAAGAAATCCTGCAGTCCTCATCCTGATCCGGCAATAACAGGAGTCTCATCAGCACATGCTAATAGCTGGCAAGTGCTCGCATTAGACTCCCTCTACAGAGTATACAGACAAGATGCAAATGGGCTTTGTGAGGCCCTTGGGACAGCTTGATGTTTTTACATTGCCTTTTGTACCAAATTGGCTTCCAAAGTTGAAAGCTCCATTGATTTATTCTTTCAGGCTAAAGCATCCAAGGAAGCTCTTTTTAAAATGACAAAACAAAATGTTCTGTTTTGATCTTTAACCTAATGCAAAAGAGTTTCGTTTCTGCTTTTAAGCCCATGGTGTCAGGAACCCCGGCTGCAGACAGCCTTGAGATGCTCACCCGATGAAGCTGATTTGTAGCATATTTCATGAGGTGGTGTCCAACAGGCTTAAACATTATTGCTACCGTGTTGCAAAAACAAAACAGGGATGAAAATGATTTTTATGTCAGGAAAATGCCTTTTCGGAAAATGCCTTTTCAGATAAATAGTGGCAAGAGTAAACAGCATGTGTTTTTCCCCCAGCCTGCACAATCCTGCTTTTTTTGGGAATGAGATTTGTTTAAATTTTATTTATGTGTTAGAGGAATAATGCCAACTTTAAAATTGACACACATATATTTCCTTACCTCATTTCTGCTTTAACCACAGGATAGTAAGGTAAAAACAGCTTAACAGTCCAGGTTACCTGTCTGAACTTGGCTAAAAATCATCTAAGAAGATGACTCAGATGTGTTTATAGCTGGTTTCACTTTCAGGTCACAGTTGGGTATTATAGGTAGCAGCAACACCGCAGAAAAGCATGCACTGAACTTGCTGTTCTTCTGAATAGGAAATGGATTTCACTTGTGTCTGGACTGTGCAAATTCTTACGTTCTACTTTAATCAATAACTAGGGCACAGTAGAAGTTGCTGTAGCTCTATAATTCACTCAGTGCTTCATCCCATATGGGTTCTGATGGGTCAAAAACTGAAAGAAAGTAGATGAGGTTCAGACATTTTCACATTTTCACAGGGGAAATAAAATAGCTCTGTCCTGATTCATGTTTTGAGAACATTGCCAGCACTTGACAGATACTTAAATAGTAAATAGTGACACCTACACTGGTGTTCTTTTAAATGTATTTGAGGTATTTTAGATTTTCAGGCCTAGATTGGAGCCTTCTGATTCTTTAATGTAAATATTAAATATTACAACATAACTGTTAGTAGGTATATCCCAGGGCTGAGTGAGAGTCTCTGTAGAGTAAACTACATTTAAGGTGCTGTTCCGAAAAGATATGGCAGATACTTTGCTGAATTTGGGCCAGAGATGGAGATGGTGCAGCATCCCAGCATCTTGCCAGATGTTGTGGATCTTCCTTATGGGAGCAGCTTCCTATCTCACCGGTTTAAACCCTTATTCAGATTTTGGTCAGGTAACTCTCCCCGTGTTCTTTAGGAATTCAGGCTGTCTTTGTCTATTTGACAGGTAACTCTGGAGGTTTGTTTTTCTCTGATTGTCCAAAATACCTGCTGGATCACTATGATTATGAAGGTGAAAACCAGATGTATTTAGATAGGTTTTCTTGCACGTGATGTTTCTCTACGTTGCTATTACAACCATATGACCAAGTGCCTACTGCCAGACATTCTGTGTATATACCCTACTACTTGAAAATGAAGAGGAAATGTTAAAGATGGAGGTTTTTTCTATGTCATGCTCGCACTGTTGCTATTTTCTAACAGATTGGTACAGAGGAACTCACTAGGAATTGTATTATTGGGCTAGATTGGAGACCTCCCAATCTGTCCCAGCTCAGCCCTTATTTGGATGCATAGCATTTGCTTTTGCTAGGAATTTGCAACAGCAGAATTCAAGCAAGTATCTCAGTGGTTGGTTCTTATCTGCTTATAAGCAGTTTACATTTTATTTTGCTTGTATTGTAATGCAAATGTAATGGGAAATATGTTGAGATACTGCAGAAAAAAAATGAAGCATGCTAAAACAGCTACTTACCTGAGAAAATGGATGCATAGTGCAAACAGACAACATTGATCTGGCCTAGCAAGGTGCCATTTCTGAGCAGAGCTTTGGTACCTGACTGTGTCAGCTCTCTAAGCCTGCCTTTACACTCAGCCTGCATTTATGCTAAGCCTGCGTTAGTCTAAGCCACCCCGATGGTCTGTTTTCTAGCAAGGCTCATACCGTAAGGAGATCTAAGGCAGCACGTTTTGCGCAGCAGTGGCCAGGTATGTGTAGACAGTTGGCTACCATCAGTCAGCAGACAGACAATAACCTGCAAAGTGACAGCAACACAGATGAGGGCCTTTGAGACATTGATGCACAGTAATCCCACATCCAGTAAGTATGGGCAAAGTCTCACAGGGGAACTTAAAAACTTTATCCTATTAATCATAGGTCAATTTTAGGACAGTATGACAGATGGCTTTCCCACATTCATCAAAACAGAAAACCTACCTGAAGAAGCAAGGAAGGAGAGATGTCAGAGCAAACAACTGCACTTTCACTGAGATTAAAATAGTTGAAAGGTATATATCTAAGAAGAAAAAGATGTCCTGACTTATGATGTGCTGACTTAAGCCTGGATAGATCCGTTTTGTCTGTATGAAATTTCACTGGTCTCAGTTGGTCTCTGTGCACCCTCCTCCATCCACACATCAGGAATTGGCTGATGGATCAAGGTTAGAAGATAGTGTTGTCTAGGCTTTAACTAATCTCTAAGAGGAAAGCCTTATAGAGGCTGTACAATATAACTGAGGGTTGTTAAAGCAGTTTTAATTTAGACTGAAGGAGAATTAATGGCAGTGAACAGAGGGGACAGTGATTGTCTGCAATTACTATATAAAACAGAGGAATGCCCTGATAGATGAGAATACAGACAGTTATTTCCATGGGTGATGAGTCATTAAATCACCTTACTAAAATGTTTTTCACATCAACGTCTTTGTATTTCTATGTGTCTATATGATTATAGTTGCAGATATAATTAATATATATACTGCATTGTACGTATGATGGTAAAGTCATATCGTCTGCTAGTTTCAGGAGTTAGATCTTGCAGTTATGATGTAACTCTAATGAAACCAGCGGGCTGGGAGATCCTAACTCCAAAATGTGACCTAAAGCAGGAATTCTCCCTGATCCTGACCACAGGGAATGCAATGTGCAGGCAAGGAGTAACCAGCCATACTGACAGTCTGAGTTCATGTCATGAACTCGTCTTCTGACCCCTGTTCTCCCTGCCCCTCTCTTAGCAGTGATAGTGCAGCCAGAACCTCATTATTTTTTCAGTGGGATTTTAGACATCTGTGTTAGAAGTTTGAGTTAAAATTGATACCCCAGGCTCATACCCCGTAGTCACTGCAAAGGGTTCGGCACCCAAGGTTGAGCATTGAGCTCCAGTGCTGCCATCAGGATGAGATACCTCATCCTGCAGAGGTGCTGAGGGTGACGAGTGCAAACTCATAGGTTCAGCTGTCAGATGCAGTCACAGATCACAGGTCTGTCTGGCTGTCTCTGCACTAGTGGTAACAGAAGTTTAACACATCAAACTGTTGATCCACAGCCTGAATAGCATTAGCACTCAGGGACCATTTTGCCTTTGCAGTCAGATCTTCATCTCTGCAGCTCAGCAATATCACAAAAGGGTCAGGAAGTCTTTCTATATGAGAGCTTCTAGTGGGTACACGAGACTCACCCAATTGACAGTTGTCTCCTGGGTCCAGCTTCATAGGCACAACTATGGCTTGCAACTCTTTCCAGAATACAGA